CAGCCCGCCCCGACTCCGCCCTCAGACCGAACTCGACTCCGCCCTCAGGCCCACCTCAGCCCGCCCCGACTCCGTCCCCAGCTCCGACCTCGACTCCGCCCTCAGGCCCGCCTTAGCCCGCCCCGACTCCGCCCCCAGCTCAGACCCGACTCCGCCCACAGGCCCATCTCAGCCCGCCCGACTCCGCCCTCAGGCTCTCCTCAGCTCTTGACTCCGCCCAACCCGACTCCGCCTTCAGCCCGGCCCCCAGCCCGACCCCGCCCTTAGCACCCTCGGCCCCTCCTGCATCAACACCCAGGCGCGCCCACACCGCGGATCCGTCTGGCCCACAAACCACTGCCCATCCCGACCCTTCCTCAGCTGGGACCGCAGGTGCTGTCCCGCGCCTCCTGCCCGCCCCCCACCCAGGCCTGATCCGCCTGCCCGGGATCCCCTACCTGCTGCTTCCCAGACCCCCGGTCAGGAACAGGCGGAGGCCATGGCAGGAGCTCGGGGCCTCCAGGCCTAGACTTAGAATGACCCCCTCCGGAATGGATCATGGGGGAAGGGGACGACCACAGCACCTGAGTGCCCACTCTGACAGGCGGGCAGTGCAGAGTCCCTGAGAGTGGCGGGGGTCACTCTTCCCAGGGGCGGAAGGGAAGGGAGGGAGCAGGCTGCAGAAGGCCAGAATCCAGGCTGGCTACAAAACTGCGGAGGAGGCAAAAATCCTGGTGGGGAGAGGACCCAGGCCCCCATTTCATGGGAAGCTGGGCCCGAAGGAGGAGCTGGGAGCTCTCATCTCCAAAATGCAGCCTAGCAGTGGTTGAAGCAGCTGCCAAACGGCTGGATGACCCAGCTCAGAGCAGCTACAGGCCCATTTGGGAAACTGACCCAGCCAAAAAGCACCAGTCTAGGAAGAGGAACAGAGAAACTTGTGGGGGACTCTGAGGAAGGGGAGACTAGCTCCTGAGCTGGCCCAGTGAACCAGGGCCCATCAAAGAAAGGAGATCCAAACATCTGTAAGAAGCTTATACTAGATCCAATAGGATTGGGATTCCCAGCTCCCAAGATGGGAAGGAATTAACAGCACCCCTTACCCCTCCAGACAGCTCCCTTGTGGCAGTCCAATTCCAGGTATTCAACACATTTAATGAATGCCTGCTACAGGTGGGCACTGTCCTGGGGCCTTGTAATGCACCTGTGGACAAAGCAGACAAAAATCCAGGAGAAAAGGGGAGGGTCTTCCAGAAGCTGAAGGAGACTTCAGAGAGTAAGTCCCTCAGTGCTACTGTGAGGACCCAAGCCAACCTTTCAGGTCAAGATGGGAAGGGACTGAATAAGCAGTCTGCAAAGGCAGACCCCATGGAGAAGGTAGAAGAGTTGTTTGTTTCTTCTGAAAGTTTGAACTCCACTCCCATGGGAAATACTCAACAGAATCAGGAAACCCCAAAGTGCCACTGAAAAGCAATTGAGAGCCCCGCTTTGGTACACCTGATGGGAGCAGGGAGCTACAGCGGCAGAAATAACCTCCACTCCAGGGTAGAAGTAGACAGGAGATGGGTTGGAAGATTTCTGCATGCTGGGGCTAGCTCAGATCAAAGTACAGAACTCCAGAAAACAAGGCCTGCCCCCAGCTCAGAGCAGCTACCACCACAGCACAGAATGGTGTGGAATCCAGGAGCCAGGATGAAGCGTGGGGGTAGATGGTGGTTGGATAGCTAACTGGCCTTTCCACTGCTCTAGCCTGGAACTGGTTGGGCTGGGGCGGGGGACATGTTGGTCTGAGCACAGATTTTGTCAGAAAACCCAGCCACCACTCCCTTGCCTTTGTGGGGTGATTCTAACATTGGACTGTGGTAAGGGTTGCACAACTCCACAAGTTTATTGAAATCATTAAAATGTAAACTTACAAAGGGTGGGTTTTATGGTATGTAAATTATACCTCAATAAAGCTGTCTAATATCTGCATTTCCTCTTTTGGTGGTAAATTCCTGAGTAGCACAGTGGCATTTTATTTAAAATGGAATCATGCTAATTTGAAATGCAGCAATTAAAAATATTTGTTTCATTTAATACATCAAATTTGAAAAAATGTATATTGCAAATTTTTAAAAATAGGTCAAGAATTTAGTTGCTGGGCGCAGTGACTCACGCCTGTAATCCCAGCACTTTGGGAGGCTGAGACGGACAGATCACAAGGTCAGGAGATCGAGACCATCCTGGCTAACATGGTGAAACTCCGTTTCTACTAAAAATACAAAAAATTACCCGGGTATATTGGCGGGGACCTGTAGTCCCAGCTACTCGGGAGACTGAGGCAGGAGAATGGTGTGAACCCAGGAAGTGGAGCTTGCAGTGAGCCCAGATATTGTGCCACTGCCTGGGTAACAGAGCGAGACTCTGTCTCAAAAAATATATACGTATATATATTATATATATATATAAAATATATATATATGTCAAGAACTTTTTTTATTTTTGAGAACACTCTTGTTGCCCAGGCTGGGGTGCAATGGCACAATCTTGGCTCACTGCAACCTCCGTCTCCTGAGTTAAAGCAATTCTCCTGCCTCAGCCTCCGGAGTAACTGGGATTACAGGCGTGTGCCACCACACCTGACTAATTTTTGTATTTTTAGTACAGACACGGTTTCACTGTGTTGGCCAGGTGTGAGCCACCGCACCCAGCCAAGAATTTAATTCTCTCTTTTTTTTTTTTGAGACGGAGTCTCACTCTGTCACCCAGGCTGGAGTGCAGTGGCACGATCTTGGCTTACTGCAACCTCCACCTCCCAGGTTCACATCACACCATTCTCCTGCCTTAGCCTCTCGAGTAGCCGGGACTACAGGCGCCAGCCACCACGCCCAGCTCATTTTTTATAGTTTTAGTAGAGATGGGGTTTCACTGTGTTAGCCAGGGATGATCTCGATCTCCTGACCTCGTGATTCGCCTGCCTCAGACTCCCAAAGTGCTGGGATACAGGCATAAGCCACCGCGCTCGGCCAAGAATTTAACATTCTTAAAGCTGGTGGGTGTGTTGAATACATTTTAACTGTGTCATTGCCATGCAGTGGCACCATCTCAGAGGGTATCCCATAATGGCAATGTTCCCTGGATCAGACCTCCTCCAAGTGGCTAGAGGGACATTCGTACCTGGTTTTCTCCTTCCTTCTTTCTCCTTTCATCTTTTTCTTTCTACACTTGCCATTATTAAAATACAAACCTACAACACTATCAAACAAGTTTTCTTCTTTTTTGGGGGGAGGGGGTGGGGGAGACAGCGTCTTCCTCTGTTGCCCAGGCTGGAGTGCAGTGGTACAATCATGGCTCACTGCTGCCTCAAATCTCCAGGGCTCAAGCCATACTCCCAACTCAGCCTCTTGTACTCGACCACAGGCCTGGGACCACAGGCGTGCGTTACTACATACAGCTAATTTTTAAATTTTTTTGTAGAGGTCGTATAATGTTGCTCAGGCTGGTCTTGAACTCCTGGGCTCAAGCAAATGATACTCTTGCCTTGGCCTCCCAAAGTGCTGGGATTACAGGTGTGCACCACCACGCCCAGCCCCAAATTTTCTTTATGTGGTGATGCCAAGGCTAGTGCTGAAAATGTGCCCCCAAGTGAAAAAACACCATGAAGGCCAGATGCCAACCACAATACCCTGTGTCTTTCATACAGAGGTGCTTGCTACAAAATATCACAAAATTAAAAGTAGAATTGTGAGGTTCCGTGGTGTAATGGTGAACACTCTGGACTCTGAAAATTAAAAGTAGGAATAAAGCAGAAATCGGCTACAGCAGTCATAAACTTCAGTGCTCTGGCTGGTGCTGACTGCTGGCTAGAAAGGCTCCTCCATAGACAGCTCTCTGCACTCACCTGGTGACCAGAGAAAACACAGGCATCCACTCTCTCTCCTCCCAGAATCCCAAATGTCATAAACACGGGCAAATGAGCACCTTGACTCTCACTGCTTCTGTTGATAGCACTGGTCTCACACTTGAGGATCTGACTCAAAATACAGGGGTTAGCAGCTCAGCACCCCAGCTCACACCTCCACTGCTAGCCCCCAACCAGACCCAGCCATCCCCTAGAGGATCAGGTTGGCTTCCTCCCTGGTCTGTTTCAAGTCCCCTCAGCACAACCCCTACCCTCACCCCATCTGCTGTTAGAAGGGATCTTACAAAGGCATCCCCTGCTCAAGCAAGTTCAGGGCCAAGTCCCAGACCCTCAGGAACGTGCACACGTTTAAGGTTCCACTTCTCCCAACATCATCTCCTCCCCTCAGCCCCTCACCTGATTTCCCAGCCCCTCAAACGCACATTTTTTACAGACTTCTACCCTGGTCCAGCTAGAGAGAACTGTGAACAACTCTGCCCTTTCCATGGCTCATTTTGTTGGAAAAGAAACCCAGGCTCAGGGACTGCATGACCTGCTAAAAGCGCTAGGAGTTGCGGCAGAGAAGCAGGACTAAGAGCGCCACGCCAGCCCTCCACGGACACTGCCCTCTGCATCCTTTCGGGTGGAGCAGGTGGGCAGCAAGTGTGGAGATACCAGAAGGGGCTGGGTGCCACTGCCCACTCCCGTGGATTCCTCTGCTTGCTAGTCAGCTGGGTGTTGGGCCAGGCCTGATGTCCATCCAGGTGGGTTCCTGCTTTCAGTGCTGCGCAGTGAGCAGGGTGAGGACCCCCACCTCGGCTCCAGAATCTGCCAGTGTTTCAGGGAATGGGGTGGGCATGTGCAGGACTGCAGGGCAAGTGCAGGGCAAGAGGAGAAAAGTTTTCATTTCTTCCTTGTTTATAAACTGCCCAAGGGCAGGTAGGGTCAGCCAGTTGGGGATGCAGCAGGAGGAGGTCCAGGAGGCCTGGGTGGGCATGCTGTGACTAGTCTTAAAGCAAAACAGGAGAGAGGTGGTGTGTTTTAGACAACGGAGGACACACAGTGTGAGGGAAGAAGGAAGTTAATGGAAATGTGACTATGAAAAAGTAGCTTTTCGGGAAACCACAGGCAGAGTCAAAGCTAATATAAACCATTCAGCAGATTTTATTAACCAAACAAAGCCTCCTGAGACGGGCCACAAGCTGGGAAAAGATGACCACACCCACCCAGCCAGCTTCCCCCACCTCCAGCTGTTTCCAGGCCTAGGACTGGAGCCCTGCTGAGACCTTGTCCCACATCTAGGACCCTCTAGGGCCTCTGGGCAGACAAGTAGCAAGGGTTTCTGCCAGGAATACCTAGAGGATGTCCAGCTGGGTGCTTCTCCACTCTCAGCCTGTTTCCTCAAATGTGGAATCCCAACCCCTGGCCAGTTTGCATCCCAGGGAGCCGAGAAGAGATCCCAGGAGGGGAGTGGTTTGTACACTGAAGGCCTGGAACAGGGGACTGGAGGAGGAAGGCCCAGAGCCCAAGCTTTCAAGACAGGCCTGGTTCCAAGCACCTGTCATCCTTCCCAGGGAGAAGGCCTGATGTTTGAATTCCCCATTCTCTTCTGAATGCCAGGAAGCACTTGAGTGTGCCCCTTGGAAGACAAACCCATAACCAGGCCTGTCCGAGCCTAGCCACCCCCACGCTCCCCAGAGGCTCAGACCAGGATCAGTCTGTCCCTAAGGCCCTCTGAGGCCTCTGCCCAAACCACAGGACTGCCCAGACCCCAGAGCAAACTCAGACAGCAAACTCAGAAGCTCTGGCCTCAGTTCGTGTCCACTGTGTGCTCTCAGCAGGCCACAGTGCAGCCCACTGCAAGGAGCTCTGTCTACAAGCTGTGGCCACAAATGCCACAGTGGGTCAGCTCACTCCCACCGAGGCTCCTGGGATCTGGTCCTGTCCTTGCCACACTTGGGACTGGGGCTTCAGGGACTCCCCTGCAGGAAGGCAGTGCCCCTCAGTGACTGGCTACACATCCTAATGCCACTGTCACCTCAGAGCAGTTGGCCAAGGGAATAAGCTGAAGACATGGAGGTTTCCCTTTCTTATAAAAATCTTTAATAAAAATAGGTTTCTGCAGAACAGGTTATAAAACAGGAGTAGCAAACTCAAATTCCTGCCACCCAGGCAAGAGCAAGTGGAGCAGGTGGAGCGGGGCTCATGGAGAGCCCAGAGCAGCGCCCGACACAGAGGGACCTGGTCATTGACCTGTGGGGTGCATGTTCAGGGCTGACATATCATCTACCTTTTTTTTTTTTGGGGGGGGACAGAGTCTCACTCTGTCGCCAGGCTGGAGTGCAGTGGCACGATCTCAGCTCACTTCAACCTCTACCTCTCGCGTTCAAGCGATTCTCCTGCCTCAGCCTCCCAAGTACCTGGGACCATAGGTGCCCGCCACCACGCTCAGCATTAGAATAATTTTTTTGTATTTTTAGTAGAGATGGGGTTTCACCATGTTGGCTAGGATGGTCTCGATCTTTTGACCTCGTGATCCGCCTGCCTCGGCCTCCTAAAGTGCTGGAATTACAGGCGTGAGCCACCACGTGTGGCCACATCATCTCATTTTTCAAGAGAAGATTTGTCTTTTAGAAAATTTGCATTTTTTAAAAATTATACTTTGGTCTGCAAAAAATTGCATTTTTAAATGTTTGCCACTGATTGATTCTTCTCTCCTCAAAATCACAATGCAAGGCAAAATCAGACAGTTGCAGCCAGTTCGCAACCTGTTGTATACACTCCACAATAAAAATAAATGGATCCACACAGTAGCAAAATATGTGTACAAAACCTACCAGGAAGACCAGGGACAGACCCCTACCGTCGAGTCAGCACGAGATAAGGAGAGGGAAGGAAGGCTGAGAATGGGGCTCAGCACTAGCCTGCCTGTCTGCATCCCTGGGTCCTGAGGTACCACTGGGGGATGGAAGAACTTCAAGGAGAGCCCCAGCTGGGTCCTAATACCCCAGGAGCCTTCTGGCTTCTTCACTTTGGGCCTGCAGAGTCTCGCTTGCATACTTCTGGAGGAGTTCCATTTTCTTTCTTCGCACCAGTGCCTCCTCAATCTGTGGAAATTAAGAGTGCAGGGCTCACTCCTCAGCAAAGCCCTCCAACCCTTGCCAGACCCAGCTAGGAGGAAGTCTCTGAGGGAGAAGTCCATGAGGAGACTGATTTAAATACCCAGAATAGTCTCCAAGAGCCATAAGTCCCTCCCATTGGAAACATTTGAACAACAGAATGGCCTAGGGCAGAGGGTCCTGCCTTTTTTGGACCCCACACCCTGAGCACAATGACAGGTGTCATGTGGTCAGGACCCTGAGCTGCCCTGATGCGTAGGAAGGACAACGAAAACCCACTGCAGTGCTCTGTGCAATCTGCTTTGGAGAAGCCCCTGGCGCCCAGGCAGCTCTTAGCTGTGGTCCTACCTCTTGCTGCGAGGGAACGGGGACGTGAGCAATGAACTTCTGCTGTCCGTCATCCCCTCCTTTCTCCTGGCTGCCTTCCTCATCCGACTACAAACAGAACAAGCGAAAGTCCATCAGCAGGCGCCCAGCTAGATAAATGCTGGCAACTCTATAAAACACATTATTTAAAAGAAAAAAAACTATTTAAAAGAAAACTATTTAAAAGAAAAAACTGCAACTATTTAAAAGAAAAGAGCCGTCTTTCTGATGCAGCAGGGTATGACCTGAAACTCCAGATCAAAGCCTCACAGTAATTCGTTGAGAAGTCTCATGTTTGCAGCCTTACAGGTAGCTGTGGTCCACTTTACAGTGGTGGAACGGGATGAGCACGTAATCCTCATGTTCATATCCCCTCCTTTCCCATGCCTCATCCATTACAAACAGAATGCTGTGAACCATCATAGGTCACGATAAAGAAACTTCTGGATAAAGAACATTATTTAAAGAAAAATCATTAAAAGAAAACTATTTAAAAGAAAAAACTGCAACTATTTAAAAGAAAAAAAAAAAAAAGAAAGTTCTATACTTATAGAAAGACAATTGAGCCACAAGATTAAGTTAAAAAAACCACAGAACATGGTGTACATTACGCTACCTTTTGTCTAAGGAGGAAATAAGAATAGAAACTACTGATGGCAGTGAGAACAAGGTAGATGAGGAACAGGGAGAGAAAAGAGAATCTTCGTGGAATATCTTTATATACTTTTTCATTTTTGAACTTTGTGAATGTTATCACTATTTTTAAAAATTTAAATGTAAAATAATGCACCATGTATAAAAAAATAATCAACTCAGAGGTTGCCTATGAATCAATACAAATTTCTAATAACAAAGAAAACAACATGGACTTGGAAAGAGAGAAAGGGTCTTGTGGCGAGTCGGAAGTCCACTGTTTGCTGGGCTCTGCCAGACATGTGCACGACCCGTTCCCTGACTGGTTCCCAGTGGGGGTGGCTTGAAAAGCCTCTTGAGGAACCTCTCTCATCCATTGCTGGCACTTGGAGAAACTGGTTGTATCTAACACTAAACACACACTTACCCTGATCTGGTGGTTCCACTCCTCAGCATGTACTCAAGAGAAACACTGCACGGGAACAAGAAAATTCCCAGCAACCCTATCTGCCAAAACCCCAAGCTGGACACAACACAAATACCTACAAACATCAGACACAAAAGAGTACACATGACTCCACATATGTAAAGTTCAGAAACAAGTGAAACATATGGGTCATGAGAGGTCAGGAGGGTGACCCCTGAGGCAGTAGTGAGCTTCTGGCGTTGTGGTCCTGTTCTGTTTCTTCACTGGTATTTGCTATGTGTGTGTGTGTTCACCCTATGAAAGTCCAGTGACCTACACATTTAGCAGGTGTGTACTTTTCTGTATATGGAACAACACTCAGCAGTGAAAAGGAATGAACTATTGAACTCAACAACCAGAGGGATGGCAAGGGTGTCATGCTGAGTGTCAAGGCCATCTCGAAAGGTGACCCACAGCATGATCCCATTTATAAAACATTCTGAAATGACAAAATCAGAGATGGTTGGGGTTCAGCTAGGGCAAGAGATGGTGAGGACAGGGAGGTGTGAACTGTGAAGGGGTGGCACCAGGGATCTTTGTGGTAAGGGGACAGTTCCCAGGCTGGAGTGCGGTGGTATAATCACAGCTCACTGCAATCTCAACACCCTGAGCTCAAGCAATTCTCACACCTCAGCCTCCTGAGGAGCTGGGACTATAGGCATGTCCAACCACACCCAGCTAATTGTTTTTATTTTTGGTAGAAACAGGGCCTCATTGTGTTGCCAGACTGGTCTCGAACTCCTGCGTTCAAGCAATCCTCCTACCTCAGCCTCCCAAAGTATTAGGATTACAGGCGTGACTACCACCCCTGGCCAGTTCTGTATCTGGATTGTCATGATGGCCACATGGATCTCCACACATGGAGACAAATGACACAGAACTTTACATATTCATGATACCAACGTCAACCTCCTAGTTTTACTACTGTGCTAGAACTACATGAGATACAACCATTGGGGGAAATGGGTGAAGCATACACAAGATCTCTCTGCACTCTTTGCAACTTCCTGTATCTCTGTAATTATTTGAAAAGAAAAAAAAAAAATTCTGCTGTGGGTTTCCACTGCTCTTCCCCACAACGCCAGCTCCCCATCAGCCTCCACTCACACCCAGCACCCACTCTCTGCACTCTAGCACGCTGGGCTGTCCTTTGTCTCTCATACTCATCACAGGATCTCTCAGCACACGATGTGCTCCTGCTGGGGCGTATTATCTCCTCCTCCCTTGGTTAAGTTCCCTGCATCGTCCTAATCTCAGCTGAGGGGTTAGCTTCCCAGCAGAGCATCTGCAGGCTGTTCCTGCACCAGGCTCTATTGAGGGACTGCTGCTCACTGTCTCTCTTACTGGACTGCCTCCCCCTGGACTAACAGCTACACACCAAGCCTCTGTACCACTATGCCCCTGTACCTGGAAAGGGGCTGGCTCACAGGAGCCATGAATTAAACATCTGCTGAGAGAGCAAATGATTATTTGTACCTGGAGGAAATCCTCCTAAGGCATGCTGCCATCCTGCTTCAGACCTGCACTGAACTCCACTGGTGGCCCAGCTGAACATGAGCAGGAACATCAGGCCTGTTACATCCTGTGTGACATTGACTAAGTCACTAAACCTGAGCCTGCTTCTTCACCAGTGGCGTCTCAGCAAGCTCCTTATGTGGAACCTGAGCCATCATCCATGTGTGGGTGATCCCCTCCCCTCTCTCAGTCCAGCAAATCAGATCCACCTGGATCTGTGCAGGCAGCAAGGACTCCAAACAGAGGGCCCTGCAGAAGAGCTCTGCCTGGGAGGCAGAGATTTCAAATGCTGAGTTTTCCTTGTTTCAGAATACCTCCTTTAATGCAGTGAAGTTTTGGTAATGTTTCATAGAAAAAATAAAAGGTGTAGGACAGACAGATACGTTAAGATTACTTACATGGTGGCTCTAATAAAAAGTAGTAACTAAGATATATAATGAGTGTTTCCTACAGATCAGAAAATATGCAAAAGGTCTGAAAACATGCAAGGATTCCCCAACCATGACCCTCTGGGTTTGTTTCCATCTGTAAGATGGGGTGTTAGGGCCAGACGCAATGGTTCACGTCTGTCATCCCAGCACTTTGGGAGGCCAAGGCGGGCGGATCACGAGGTCAGGAGTTCGAGACCAGCCTGGCCAATATGGTGAAACCCTGTCTCTATTAAATATACAAAAATTAGCCGGGCATGGTGGCACTCGTCTGTAGTCCCAGCTACTCAGGAGGCTGAGGCAGAAGAATTGCTTGAACCCAGAAGGCAGAGGTTGCAGTGAGCTAAGATCAGGCCACTGCACTCCAGCCTGGGTGACAGAGCAAGACTACGTCTCAAAAAAAATTAAAAAGATGGGGGTGTTAGACTACAGAAAAGCGACTGGCACTGCCACGTGAACAGAAGTGATGAGGTCATGGGCTAAAGCTCATGGCTTCCTCTGTGTTTATCAATCTAATTACAGGGTATGCAGGAGGGCCTGTCTCTAAGAAGGAAGGAAGGAAGCCCTTGTGTAAAGCATGGCCAGCAGGGCACTCTCATGGCTGCTGCCTCCTGAAACCCTCCTGTAATCTCACGAGTGTTTTCACAGCCATCCTGCAGGCGAGCAAGCTGGGCTGTGAACCCTGACTCTGTGTTTTGGAGCCAAGCTTCCTCCCTGCCATACTTCATGGCTTGGAGCAGATGGCAGTGAGTGCCAGAGGGGACCAACCCCAATACCTCCTCCTCCGTGACTGCATAGATGTTGATCTCTTCCTCCTCTTCCTCCTCCTCTTCCTTTTCTCCTCTTGCCAGCCGAGCCTCTCTCTCTGCTTTCCACTTTTCCACTAACTCGGCTCTGACTGAACACAAGAGAGGGTAGGTGCTATTTATTTCAGTCTCTAAATGAGCTTTCAACACTATGCAGGGAAAGGCCAACACTATGCAGGCAAAGTCTAGACATCCCTTCTAGAAAGGGACACCCTTCATTCTGCCCCCATGAGTGGAAATGGATGTGAGGCATGGTAGTCCTACAACAGCTCTGGCTTTCAGTCACTTCAAAGCAGATTTTTAAGGAACATTCCCAAATCCTCCCCAGTTCCACAACCTGAGTGGCTTTCCAACATGTCCACATGAAAACAGAGAAGGCAGGGGCAGAGCATGCTAGAAATCAGCTCCAGCTCCAGACCACTTGCTTCTAAAGTCCTGGCTTGATGTGTCACATGGGCACTGGTATTAGCACGAATCCAGATGGTGACCTCCTAGCAGACAGGGACTGGTCAGACTTGGCTCTCATGGCTTCCCCAACCTTTATCTCTGGCCCACACAGCCTTGACTGCCTCACAGGGATCAGGGAATTAACAGACCATCACACCTGAAGACCATTAGCAACAAAGAAAACTCCCTTCTGGCATAAAGCACTATTGAAAATCCTGTTTTCAAAGGAGACAACAGAAAACAGATGCCATCTATTCTAAAATAAAATGCCCAGAGACCTACGTTTCTTTTCATATTCCTGTTCCAAAGGCACAATAACACCATCATCTTCATCTAGGTAACCATAGTACTCAAAATCGATTGCCTTCATGAGCTCAGCACGTGTCTTTCTGGGAGGAGGAAGAGCTATAAGAAACAGAAACAGAGCTGAGTTTCCAAGTCACAATCACACTCCAGCAAAGCTGTCTCCTGATGCAACGCTACACAGCCACGTGGCACGTATGTTCATGAAAATACCGCGTAGGCGCGGTGGCTCGCGCCTATAATCCCAGCACTTTGGGAGGCTAAGGCAGGTGGCTCACGAGGTCAGGAGTTCGAGACCAGCCTGACCAACATGGTGAAACCTCGTCTCTACTAAAAATACAAAAATTCGCCAGGTGTGGTGGTGCGCGCCTGTAATCCCAGCTACTCAGGCTGAGGCAGGAGAATCGCTTGAACCTGGGAGGCAGAGTTTGCAGTGAGCCGAGATCACACCACTGCACTCTAGCCTGGACAACAAAGCAAGACTCCATCATAAAAAAAGAAAATACCATGGATAGGCACTTTTCTATACTATTCATGGGATTATTTAAGTGGTAGAGCCCTTTTTAAATTCAGTACTTGGACCCATTAGTCCATTTAAAAGCAACCTACCTAATTAAAAAACAAAACCAAGCTCGGCACGGTGGCTCATGCCTGTAATCCCAGCACTTTGGGAGGCCGAGACAAGAGAATCATGAAGTCAGCAGTTCGAAACCAGTGTGGCCAACATGTTGAAACCCCATCTCTACTAAAAATACAAAAATCAGTCAGGCATGGTGGTGAGCCCCTTTAATCCCAGCTACTCCAGAGGCTGAGGCAGGAGAATCACTTGAACCCAGGAGGCGGAGGTTGCCGTGAGCCAAGACCGTGCCATTGCACTCCAGCCTGGGCGACAGAGCCAGACTCCGTCTCAAAAAAAAAAAAAAAAAAGAAGAAAAAAAAAGAAATCCAGGCTAGTTGCAGTGCAAACATAAGATAGCAAAAAGCTTCATGGACAGAAATATGCATCACATTATTATTTATGTAAGACAGAAAACTTGGAAATAACCTAGGATTGTAAATTGCAGAATATGTATGGGATGGGATATCCTGCAGCCCCTGTAATGCTAATTCACAAAGTATTTTAATAACACAGGAACTGTCATAATGTTTAATGAAAAAGCATGACAAGAAACATAAGCAAATAAAAAAGACAAAAGAAACTATAAACAAACAAAAAAGATAGATGAGAAAGCCCTAAAGAAGATACTTTCAGACTAGGACTATTATCCAGAATATTCAAGTAATTCTTTTTTTTTTTTTGAATGGAATTTCACTCTTGTTGTCCAGGCTGGAGTGCAATGGCATGATCTCGGCTCACTACAACCTCTGCCTCCAGGTTCAAGTGATTCTCCTGTCTCAGCCTCCCAAGTAGCTGGGATTACAGGCACCCACCACCACACCCAGCTAATTTTTGTATTTTTAGGAGAGATGGATTTCACTTGTTAGCCAGGCAAGTCTCAAACTCCTGACCTCAGGTGATCTGCCCGCTTAGGTTTCCCAAAGTGCTAAGATTATAGGTGTGAGACACCGCGCCCGGCCAAGTAATTATTGAAAATGAAAAAGAAAATGACAACCAACCAGATTAGTCAAAGAATAAAAGCTGGCCAGGCGCAGTGGCTCATGCCTGTAATCCCAGCATTTTGGGAGGCCGAGGCAGGTAGATCACCTGAGGTCAGGAGTTCAAGACCAGACTGGCCAACATGGCAAAACCCTGTCTCTATTAAAAATACAAAAATTAGCCAGGCGTGTTGCCAGATGCCTATAATCCCAAGCTACTGAGGAGGCTGAGGTAGGAGAAACACTTCAACCCAGGAAGCGGAGCTGGCAGTGAGTCGAGATCGCACCACTGCACTCTAGCCAGGGCCACAGCGTAAGAGTCCATCTCAAAAAAAAAAAAAAAAAAGGAAAGAAAAAAAAAACTGGAAAGTAAAGGTCTGCAATGGAGGAATTGTTATGTCAGGTATCGTTAATCCATACCATGATACTCTTTAATCCTTCACATCCACTAACAGAGTTCTAAGTACATTTGTGGGAGGATACTAATGGCTATCACAACACAACAGTTATGAAAGAGCCACTGTCCTTTGGCAGGCCTCTATCTATCACCCCACTGTTGGTAACAGCAACTCTGCCCACCCCTCTGCCACTCTTGGGCCACGTCATGTAAGTGGTGGTCATCATGCTGGCTGGAGCCAGGAGACAGTGCAGGTTGAAGCCTGGCTGGCTCAGAGTACTGCATTCCTCCTGGCCACAGGGGTTGGTATATGGATGATGGCATTATAATCCAATCAAAACCAACTACACTCAGTCTGGGGATTTTGCTTGAGCTGCTTGGGAGAAAAATCTGTTGCTGAGAGAACAAGACCTAAGTCGATGACAGATGACTGCCACAAGTGGAAAGCCAGGCAGAGAAAGAAGTTTACACAGTGGAAGTCAAAACTGCAACACAAAGAAATGTGAGCTACATTCAGCCATGCCTGAAGGCAAACTATCCTGAGATTTCCTTGGGGTTAAGTCATCTGTCACTTATACTGATGAAATAAGCATGTAACTGCCTGGAAACGGGACTAGAAGAAGGCTGAGTGCAGGGGTTCATGCTTGTAATCCCAATGCTTTGAGAGCCCGAGGCAGGAGGCCTGCTCGAGGCAAGGAGTTCAAGAATTACTAGACAACATAGTGAGACCCCCATCTCTACAGAAATTTTAAAAAATGTCAGGGGTGGTGATACATGCCTGTACTCCTAACTACTCAAGAGGCTGAGGCAGAAGGATGCCTTGAGCCCTGGAGTTCAAGGCTGCAATGAGCTATGATTGCACCACTGTCTTCCACAGCCTGGGTGACAGAACAAGGTCTTGTCTTTGAGATGGAGTCTTGCTCTGTCACCCAGGCTGGAGTACAGTGGTGCAATCTCGGCTCACTGCAACCTCTGCCTCCCGGGTTCAAGTAATTCTCCTGCCTCAGCCTCCCAAGTAGCTGGGATTACAGGCATGCACCACCATGCCTGGCTAATTTTGTATTTTCTTCTTTTTTTTAAAGACAGAGTCATGCAATGGCGTGATCTCAGCTCACTGCAAGCTCCACCTCCTGGGTTCACGCCATTCTCCTGCCTCAGCCTCCCGAATAGCTGGGATTACAGGTGCCGGCCACCATGACCAGCTAATTTTTCGTATTTTTTTTTTAGCAGAGACGGGGTTTCACTGTGTTAGCCGGGATGGTCTTGATCTCCTCACCTTGTGATCCGCCCACCTCGGCCTCCCAAAGTGCTGGGATTACAGGCGTAGCCACCACGCCCGGCCTGATTTTGTATTTTCAGCAGAGATGCGGTTTCACCATGTTGGTCAGGCTGGCCTTGAACTCCTGACCTCATGTGATCCACCGTCCTCGGCCTCCCAAAGTGCTGGGATTACAGGTGTAAGCCACCATCATTATTATCAGTTACCTCTAGGAGGGGCACTGGGATGAGGGTAGAGGTAAGAGGACTTTAACTCTATCTGTACTATTTGAATTATAACCGGTAAAACTGACTTAAGCATTTTCTTTCTAAAACAAAAATCTTTTAAAGAGATGACAAAAAAGGAAAAATAAATTTAAAAATCCAAAAATCTATGACTGGAATAAGCAAAAATACATGTAGAAAAATGTAAATGCAAAAAACCTAACATATAGAGCATAATCACAAAGTAGGAGCCGCCCCAGTATAATCCTTTAGAAACTGGAATGAACAGCCAGGTGAGGTGGGCAGATCACAACATCAAGAGTTCAAGACCGGCTAGAAGCAGTGGTTCACGCCTATAATCCCAGCACTTTGGGAGGCTGAGGCGGATGGATCACTAGGTCAGGAGATCGAGACCATCTTGGCTAACATGGTGAAAGCCCGTCTCTACTAAAAAATACAAAAACTTTGCCAGGTGTGGTGGCGGGCACCTGTAGTCCCAGCTACTCGGGAGGCTGATGCAGGAGAATGGCGTGAACCTGGGAAGTGGAGCTTGCAGCAGTGATGTGAGATTGCGTCACTGCACTCCAACCTGGACAACAGAGCAAGACTCCATCTCAAAAAAAAAAAAAAAAAAAAAAAAAAAGAGCTCGAGACCACCCTGGCCAACATAGTGAAATCTCATCTCTACTAAAAATACAAATTAGTACCAGGCACGGTGGCTCACGCCTGTAATCCCAGCACTTTGGGAGGCCAAGGCGAGCGGATCACGAGGTCAGGAAATCGAGACCATTCTGGCTAACACAGTGAAACCCCGTCTCTACTAAAAATACAAAAAAAGAAAAAGAAAAAGAAAAAAAATTAGCTGGGCCTGGTGTCAGATGCCTGTAGTCGGGAGGCTGAGGCAAGAGAATGGCGTGAACCTGGGAGGCAGAGCTTGCAGTGAACTGAGATTGGGCCACAAACCCGGGAGGCAGAGGTTGCAGTGAGCCAAGATCGCACCACTACACTCCAGTCTGTGCAACAGAGCAAGACTCTGTCTCACCAAAAAAATAAACAAATAAAAATAAATAAATAAATAGAAAGAAAGAAACTGGAGGGAACAATGTCCTAATATATTAACAATCATCACATATGAGGTGTGAAAATGTAAGTGGTCTTTTTCTGATTTTCTGTATTTTATAATTTACTTTTTTGGTTTAAGATGGAGTCTTGCTCTGCTGCCCAGGCTGGAGTGCAGTGGCACAATCTCGGCTCACTGCAACCTCTGCCTCCCAGGTTCAAGCGATTCTCCTGCCTCAGCCTCCTGAGTAGCTGGGATTACAGGTGCCTGCCACTACGCCCAGCTAATTTTTTTTTTTTGTATTTTTAGTAGAGACAGGGTTTCACCATGTTGGCCAGGCTGGTCTGGAACTCCCGACCTCGTGATTCTCCCGCCTTGGCCTCCCAAAGTGCTGGGATTACAACCATGAGCCACTGTACCTGGCTATAACTTCTCTGCAGTAAAAAATATATTGCTTCATAATTAATGGCACAATATTTAAACTCTGAATTATTTTTAAGTGATGGTAGCAACCTATACAAAACTAGTTTTGGAATAATGAATTTTAAAATAAGCAGGGTTTAATAAAAGTAGAACGATATTTAAAAAAAAAAAATAGAAAAACCAACTAAAAGGAGACACAACAAAACGCTAATAATGGTGAGAATACTGGCATCATTCTTCTCTGCCTCTCATACTTTTTCCTATGAAGTGCTGACTACCTTTCTAAAACACAAAATTAAAACAGACTAAAACTCCAGACTAACAGCTTCAAATTATATTCTGGAGGTTTGGCTGAAAGGAGGAGGAGAGGTGGAGGTGCTCTACTGGATTCACACAAAGCAGCTCCACTTTTCTCCTTTTTTTTTTTTTTTTTTGAGATGGACTTTCACTCTTGTTGTCCAGGCTGTAGTGCAATTTTGTGATCTCGGCTCACCGCAACCTCCACCCCCGAGATTCAAGTGATTCTCCTGTCTGAGCCTCCTGAGCAGCTGGGATTACAGGCATGCACCACCATGCCCAGCTAATTTTGTAAGTTTAGTAGAGATGGGGTTTCACCATGTTGGCCAGGCTGGTCTCAAACTCCTTACACCTCGGCCTCCCAAAGTGCTGGGATTATAGGCACGAGCCACAGCACCCGGTCTCGCTTTTTTCCATTTTTACATATTAGGGTTTGGCCCAAGATTTTATTTGTTCATTGGTTATCATTTTTTCAACTAATAAGTAACTGAAACATGAACCGGATTCAATGAACTTCAGAACCTGCCCCAATCATTCTGGGAAACTTCAAATAAGGAAACTCCTTGTCCAGACTGACAGATTAGCACCTGCCAAAGGCAGAATCCTGCACCAGCCAATCCTGGGCGCACTTTCCAGCCCCAGTTGTATGTCATGGGCCTATGATTCCATCCCAGCTCTTAAGAATTCTCAGTTGAAATCTGGGAACAATAATTCCTACATTATAAGGCTGTTATGCAACTAAGAAAAAAAAGTAAGAGCAGTTAGCATATAGCATATCTACTCCTATGATTATTACCAACGAAAGGCTAAAACTGTCACAAACTTAGTTACTTACGTTCTTTTTCAAACAGCTCTCTAACACCAGGCAAATCTTTTGCAGCTCCAAAGTACTTGTAACCTCGGTTTCCTGGGACTTCTTTTCCTTCATGATCCAGCATTTTAGGACCAACTTTCTTATTGGGAAGAAAAAAGATAAAATGGATCTGTTAGTTAGTTATTATTTATTTATTTATTTGAGGTAGAGTCTCGCTCTGTTGCCCATTTACTTATTTGAGGTGGAGTCTCGCTCTGTTGCCCAGGCTGGAGTGCAGTAGCACAATCTCGCTGCAACCTCCGCCTCCCAGGTTCAAGTGATTCTCCTGTCTCAGCCTCCTGAGTAGCTGGGATTACAGGTGCATGCCACCACGCCTGGCTAATTTTTGTATTTTTAGTAGAGATGGGGTTTCACCATGTTGGCCAGGATGGTCTCGATCTCCTGACCTAGTGATCCGCCCTCCTAGGCCTCCCAAAGTGCTGGGATTACAGGCATGGGCCACTGTGTCTGGCGAATCTTATCTTTAAACCCACTATTTCCATGTTTGCAAATATATTTTAAGATAATAGCTGGATGTAGTGGCTCACATCTGTAATCCTAGCACTTTGGGAGGCCAAGGTAGGCGGATCACTTCAGCTTAGGAGTTCAAGACCAGCCTGGGCAACATGGCAAAACCCTGTCTCTACTATACAAAAATTAGCTAGGTGTGGTGATACATGCCTGTAATCCCAGCTACTCAGGAGGCTGGGGCAGGAAGAATTGCTTGAACCTGGGAGGTGGAGATTGCAGTGAGCCAAGATCATGCCACTGCACTCCAGCCTAGGCGACAGAGAGAGACTCTGTCTCAAATATAAAATAAATAAATAAAAAACACTTATGGGCTGGGTACGGTGGCTCACACCTGTAATCCCAGCACTCTGGGAGACCGAGGCGGGAAGATCACTTGAGGCCAGGAGTTCACAACCAGCCTGGGCAACATGGTGAAACCTTGTCTCTACAAAAAAATGCAAAAACTAGCCAGGCATGGTGACATATGCCTATCGTGCCACTGCATTCCAGCCTGGGTGACAGAGCGAGACCCTGTCTCAAAAAAACTAAATAAAAATAGGCCAGGCGCGGTGGCTCATGCCTGTAATCCTAGCACTTTGGGAGGCTGAGGCAGGTGGATCACGAGGTCAGGAGATGGAGACCATCCTGGCTAACACGGGGAAACCCCATCTCTACTATAAATACAAAAAATTAGCCGGGCGTGGTGGCGGGTGCCTGTGGTCCCAGCTACTCAGGAGGCTGAGGCAGGAGAATGGCATGAACCCAGGAGGCAGAGCTTGCAGTGAGCCGAGATTGCGCCACTGCACTCCAGCCTGGGTGACACAGTGAGACTCTGTCTCAAAAAAATTAAATTAAATTAAATTAAAATAAAATAAAATAAAATAAAATAAATAAAATAAAAAACACGATGTTAAGTGACAAAACCTTTAAAAAGATTACCAACAACCTATATGACAATCAGTAGAAAACAAATGAAATACATCCAGAGGATACAACTATATCTATTAAAACTGATGATTTGCCAGGTATGGTGGCTCACATCTGTAATCCCTGCACTTTGGGACACCAAGGCAGGCAGATTACCTGAGGTCAGGAGTTCAAAACCAGCCTGGCCAACATGGTAAAACCCCATCTCTACTAAAAATACAAAAATTAGCAAGGTGTGGTGGTGCACATCTGTAATCCCAGCTCCTTGGGAGGCTGGAGCACAGGAATCACTTGAACCTGGGAGGCGGAGGTTGCAGTGAGCTGGGATCACATACCACTGCACTGCAGCCTGGACAACAGAGTGAGACTCTGTCTCAAAAAAAAAAAAAGATGATTTGACAACTACATGTAGTATGTGACCCTGGACCAGGTCCTGTATTGCAGGGGAAATGCTACCAAGGACATTATTGGGAAAATTGATGAAATGCCACATGGATTCAATTATTGTAGCCAGGTTAAATTTCTTAAACTTGATAGCTCTACCATGGTTATATAAGAGAATATTCTTCTTCTTAGGAAATACACATATATTAAAGAGTAAAGAAGCATGATGTATTTTAACCTACCTTTCAAATGCTTCACAAAAAATAAATCTCAAGGTACATAAAGAAAATAAAGCAAATACAAGCAAAATGTTAAATACTGGTAAATCTGTAAAAAGGGTATATAAAAGTTCTAAAGTTCTGTATATTTCTGCAATGTTCTTTGAATTAAAAAATATTTTTAAAAAGTATACAATTTGGTTGAGCACAGCGGCTCACGCCTGTAATCCCAGCACTTTCGGAGGCTGAGGCAGGATGACTGACTAACTCCAGGAGCTTGAGATCAGCCTGGGCAATATAATGGGACACCATTTCTACAAAAAATTTAAAAATTAGCTGGGCATGGCCAGGCATAGTGGCTCATGCCTGTAATCCCAGCACTTTGGGAGGCCAAGGCAGGTGGATCACCTGAGATCAGGAGATCGAGACCAGCCTGGCCAACATGGTGAAACCCTGTTTCTAATAAAAATACAAAAATTAGCCGGGTGTGGTGGTGGGCACCTGTAGTCCCAGCTACTCTGGAGGCTGAGGCATGAGAATCGCTTGAACCCAGGAGGGGGAGGTTGCAGTGAGCCGAAATCACACCCCTGCACTCCAGCCTGGGTAACAGAGCAAGACTCCGTCTCAAAAAAAAAAAAAAAAAAAAAAAAATTAGCTAAGCATGGTGGCACACACCGTCATCTCAGCTGCTCGGGAGGCTGAGGTAAAAGGATCACTTGCACTTGGAGTCAAGGCTGAAGTGAGCCATGATCGTGCCACTGCACTCCAGCCTGGGGTAACAGAGTAAGATCCTGTCTCAAAAACTAAAAGGCTGGGTGCAGTGGCTCACACCTGTAATTCCAGCACTTTGGGAGACCAACATGGGCAGATCACCAGAGATCAGGAGTTCGAGACCAGCCTGGCCAACATGGTCAAACCCCAACTCTACTAAAATACAAAAATTAGCCAGGTATGGTGGCACACACCTGTAATCTCAGCTGCTCCAGAGCCTGGGGCATGAGAATTGCTTGAACCCAGGAGGCAGAGGTTGCAGTGAGCCAAGATCACACCACTGCACTCCAGCCTGGGTGACAAGGTGAGACTCCATCTCAAAAAAAAAAAAAACTAAAATAAAACAATTTAATATACTTATCGATTATATGATTATCTGACATGAAGGTGTATTCCTTATACAGTTTAGAGAATAAAGCATGTAGTGAGAATATTAATGAATTTCTATAATGTATACACTAATATGTATTGTTTATATTTTATAATTTTTATATTTATATTTTTTCTCTACACGAAAATATGTACTTGTTTATATAATCAAAGCTATCATTTTGAAAAGAGAAACAAAACCTAGAACCAAAATTGGACATATAGTGAGTATGGTTTCAATTATGACATTCATACAAAAACAACGGAAGGAAAAAAAAAGATAAACAGCATATTCAAGTAGCTGCGCTTATGTAATGGGATTGTGACTGAGTGTTGTTCTGCTTCTTTGTACTTTTCTGAACTTAGTGATAATATATTACTTTTATATGTGGAAAATAAAAACAAAATTATTAAGTATTTAAAGTCTCTGGAAGAAAATATAAAAATATTAATTTTCATATATTTATATTGAATTTATGTTGAATTTGGGTGGTGGAACTTAGCATTTCATATATTAATTTTTTCATACATCTGAGACCACTTTTCTAGGTGGATTAATGAGCTGCTTTTAAGCAGCCTCACAGGAAAAATAAAATCTCCACCACACAACTGCTGAAGAGGTCAGGCAAGTGCTCACTCTGGCAGGACATATTCTAAAATCAGAATGATACGGAGAGAAGATTGGCATATAAAAATAAGAAACAACAAAAATAAAATAAATGAAAAGAAAAAAAGAAGTTAGGCAAGACATCCAAGAGAAGAGAAGGCTCCTAGTGCAGTGCCCAGACACAAAAGGGGCTTCAGAAATGGGAGTGTCTTTCCTCTTCTGCAATGGGAAGGCTGAATGCTCCATTTGTATGTACTAGGGTGAGAATTATGGTTATGTGTTAAGACTTTCTCAAAGGTGAAAAGATCAACACGTAGAAAAACTGCATGTGTTTCTTATATAACATGTTATAGTCCATTGATTAGATACTGTTGTTTCCAGTGATCTGAGGTACGTCTCATCACAAAAGTGTGAAATAATTAGGCTCTGGGGCAGGAGTTTTCAAAACCAAGACCCATTAGTGCGTCATGAAATCAGTTATGCAGGTCACAAACATCAATTTTTTAAAAACCAAAATAGAACAGAATAAAAAATATCAAAGTATACCACACTACTGTTTTTTCAGCACCATTGTGTGCTGGCTTGTGATTGTGTGTGTGTGTGTGTGTGTGTGTTTTACAATGGGCCATGTTCTTAAAAGTTTGAAAGCTATGTTTCTAGAGTATTGCACTTACAGAAGTCCAAAAAAAGGACAGAATGGAGTGTCTCTATGGCTCTCAGATAACAAAGCCAACAAATGGCTGTCTCCAGTTCCTAAGGTGCTCAAATAATGGGAGGAACCATTGTCATTTTATCTTTTTTTTTTTTTTTTGAGACAGCATCTTGCTCTGGCACCCAGGCTGAGGTGAGTGGCATGATGACAGCTCCCTGCAGCCTCCACCTCCCAGGCTCAAGCGACCCTCCCACCTCATCCTTCTGGGACTATAAGCATCTGCTACCATGCCTAGCTAATGTTTAAATATTTTGTAGATTAAGGGTCCCACAACGTTGCCTAGGCTGGTCTCAAACTCCGGTGCTCAAGTGGTCGTCCTGACTCAGCCTCCCAAAGTGCTAGGATTACAGGCGTGAGCCACTGCACCCAGCGAAGAACCATAGTCTTTTCTTTCTTTTTTTTGGTGGGGGGGGAAGGAGTCTTACTCTGTCGCCCAGGCTGGAGTGCAGTAGTGATCTTGGCTCACTGCAACCTCTGTCTTCCAGGTTCGAGTGATTCTCCTGCCTCAGCCTCCCAAGTAGCTGGGATTACAGGCATGCATCACCACACACAACTAATTTTTGTATTTTTAGAAGAGATGGGCTTTTGCCATATTGGCCAGGCTGGTCTTGAACTCCTGACCTCAAGTGATCTGCCGCTACCGCACCCGGGCTCACGGTCATTTTAAACACAAGGCCCAGAGATGAAGCAGCTTACACAAGGCCTTCTGGCTAGTACATACAGATGCCCTGTCCGCTGTGATGCAGGTGCTGTGAAGTCTTCCAGCATCATCCTACCCACCTGTTCACAGGTTTCCCGTATCAAGGGACTACTATGGCAGGAATGGGCTGGGAACTGCTGGGGGTGGAAAACTAGATGGGACCCGCCACTGGGGCTGCCATGTACTCACTCCATAATCAGGACCACCCAGCTCCTTTATCCGGACCTCCCAGTGTCCTTTCTCCCTTAGCAGCTTGTTAATTTCATCATTCAGGTCACGAATTCGAAATTCACCTAAACCAGCTAGAAAACAAAAAGGTTAACAATATAATTCCATAAAAATTGTCAACACCTCCAACACTTACACTCAATATCATACCCTTAAAATCAATGTCAACATCTACAAAGGTACACTACATAAAAATACTCATCTAAATTGATAAGAAAAATCACCCAAATAAATGAAAGGACAAGAATTATAAAGAGTTTCCACTAGCGTAAGAAAAAAAAAAAAAATCCTTGAAACTAATTTCATCCTCACTAGCAACCAAAAAAATACAAACTACCCTGAAACAACCCAGCAGTTCCATTTATACAGCTACTGAAATAACAAGCTCTTGAGAGAGAGGGGGAAACAGCAACCAAGGTCAGCAAAGACACAATGAGGCTGGGATGGGCACCCAGGGCTGGCAGCATTCTATGATGGTTTAGCCTTTTCAGGAAAGCAATGTATTGCTATATGGGAAACATTTCTGGCAAGGACTATAGGGCTAAGAATTAAGCCTAAGGGATTAATTGAAAGGGATGTGCACAACAAATTTCACTGCGGTGCAGCTGGGGCATCACACCATAGAGAAGGTGGGAAAATGGTTAATGAACCCTAATATGTTGAAATGAAACATCATGTAACTGTTGGAAGGGACAATTTGCACACAGTGTAGACACAGCAAGGCCTTTATGAGGTAATGCTGGATGACAACAGCAAGTCCAGAAGGGCTCTTACACCTGGGTTACAGCTAAGACTGATGCTCTAGAAGATGGGCATGAGAGGACTTCTAGGGGTGATGGATACTGCTTGTGGACGTGGTGGCTTTCATGGGTATAAAAATCTGCTGTAATTCATCCAACTCTACATTAAAAATGGAGGAATTTTGTTTTATGTAATTTTTGCTGGATAAAGTCCATTTTTTAAAAAAAGTCAAACAGGTGGGCGCAGTGGCTCACGCCTGTAATCCCAGCACTTTGGGAGGCCAAGGCAGGCGGATCACGAGGTCAGGAGATCCTGATCATCTGGCTAACACAGTGAAACCCTGTCTCTGCTAAAAATACAAAAAATTAGCAGGGCATGGTGGCGGGCGCCTATAGTCCCAGCTACTCGGGAGGCTGAGACAGGAGAATGGCGTGAACCTGGGAGGTGGAGCTTGCAGTGAGCCGAGATCGTGCCACTGCACTCCAGCCTGGGCGATGAGCAAGACTCCACCTCAAAAAAAAAAAAAAAAAAAAAAAAAAAGTCAAACAGGTCGGGTGCAGTGGCTCACGCCTGTAATCCCAGCACTCTGGGAAGCCGAGGTGGGTGGACTGCTTGAGCTCAGGAGTTCAAGCCAGCCTGGGCAACATAGTGAAATCCCATCTCCACCAAAAATACGAAAAATTAACTGGGTGTGGTGGCACATGCCTGTGGTTCCAGCTACTTGGGAGACTGAGGTAGGAGAATCACTTGAGCCCAGGAGGTGGAGACTGCAGTGAGCTGTGATAGCACCACTGCACTCCAGCCTAGGTGACAGAGTGAGACCTTGACTCAAAAAAAAAAGTCAAGTAAAAAGAAGACACTGTAACTGGGTGCGGTAGCTCACACCTGTAATCCCAGCCTTCTGGGAGGCACAGGAGGATAGATCACTTGAGGTCAGGAGTTCGAGACCAGCCTTGGCCAACATGGGGAGTCCTTGTTTCTACTAAAAATACAAAAATTAGCCGGAAGTGGTGGTGCACGCTTGTAATCCCAGCTACTGAGGAAGCTTGAGGCAGGAGAATTGCTTGAGCCTGGAAGACAGAGGTTGCATTGAGCCAAGATCACGCCACTGCACTCCAGCCGGGGCGACAGGGCAAGATTGCCTCAAAATAAATAAATAAATAAAAATTTAAAAAAAAAAACACACATTTTAGAACCTCCCACTCCCATGTTCTGTTCTGTTAAGAAAGAAAAAGATCTGCCACCACCATGGTGAGACTTTCTAGTGCTAAAGACACAGAGAACTCAAAGCAGCCCAATCATCTGCCCAATCATCTGAGGGCCTCAACCAAAGCAAAGGGAGAGGATTCCAGAAGCCTCTCCCAAAGCAAAGCCAAGACATCTTGGAGAAAACAAGAATCACACATTTTATGTTTTTTCATTGACTTTCCAAAATCTATATATAAAAACATTACTTTTTGGTACATAATGAGTTTTCACAAATGCATATAATCATGTAATCATGACCACAATTAAGACACAGAAAGTTCCATGGCCCCAAAACATTCCCTTATGTGCCATTATAGTCACCCCCTCCCCTCACCCAACTTTTGGCCACCAGTAAACATAATGTATTTTGTTCCTATAATTTTGCTTTTCCAGAACATCATATAAATGGGATCATAAACTATACAGCATTTTGAGTTTTGTTTCTTTCACTCAGCATTATGCTCAAAAGCAGGCTTTTGAGATTCATCCATATATTTTAATTTTATTTATTTACTTTGATTATTATTATCATTTACAAAGATGAGGCCTTACTATGTTGCCCAGGCTGGTCCCCAACTCCTGGGCTCAAAGTGATCCTCCCACCTTGGTCTCTCAAAGTGCTGGGAATTATAGGCATGAGCCACAGTGCCTAGTCTATATGTTTGTTTTTACTACTGAGTATTATTTTATTGTATAGACACACCTCAGTTGGTTTATCCATTCACCAGAAGGACCTTTGGGTTGCTTCCAGTTTGGGGACTACTATAAACATTATGTATGAGTTTTTGTGTAACAGAAAAGGATTACATTTCTCTTGGAGAAATATCTAGGAATGGAATTGCTGGATCATAGGTTAAGTGTATGTTTAACTTTATAAGAAACCACCAAAACCCATTTTAAAGTAGCTGTTCCATTTTGCCTCCTCACTACCAGTGCATGTGAGTTCATTACTTCACATACTCACCAGCACTTGGCATTGTCACTATTTCTTTAAGTCATTCTATTAAGTGTGTAGTATCCCACTGTTGTTTTAATCTGCATTTCCTTTATGACTTTTATGTTAAATACATGAAAAGATGCTCATTTGCCTCTACATTTTTTTTTTTTTTTGAGACAGTCTCGCTCTGTTGCCCAGGCTGGAGTGCAGTGGTACAATCTCAGCTCACTGCAACCTCTGCCTCTCAGGTTCAAGCTATCCTCATGCCTCAGCCTCCCAAGCAGTTGGTATTACAGACGTGAGCCACCACACCCAGCTAATTTTTGTATTTTTAGTAGAGACAGGGTTTTGCCATCTTGGCCAGGCTAGTCTCAAACTCCTGGCCTCAAGTGATCCATCCATCTCGGCCTCCCAAAGTGTTGGGATTACAGGCGTGAGCCACCGTGCCGAGCCTACATATTTTCTTTGGTAAAGTATCTGTTCAAAATTTTGCCCACTTCTTAAAACAAATTATATTTTCTTTTTTTTTTTTTTTTTTTTTTGAGATGGAGTCTCACTCTGTCACCCAGGGTGGAGTGCAGTGGCACGATCTCTGCTCACTGCAAGCTCTGCCTCCTGAGATCACGCCACTTCCCACCTCAGCTTCCCGAGTAGCTGGGACTACAGGCGCCCGCCACCAAGTCCAGCTAATTTTTTTTGTATTTTCAGTAGAGACGGGGTCTCCCCGTGTTAGCCAGATGGTCTCAATCTCCTGACCTTGTGATCCACTCGCCTCAGCCTCCCAAAGTGCTGGGATTACAGGTGTGAGCCACCGCGCCCCGCCGCAAATTATATTTTCTTATTGATCAATTTTTAAGAGTTATTTGTCATCCCTTTCTCCACTGAATTGTTTTCATAACTTTGTCAAAAGTCAATTGACCAAGCCAGACATAGTGGCTCATGCCTGTAATCCCAACACTTTGGGAGACACAGATGGGAAGACTGCTCAAGTCCAGCCTGGGCAACAAGAGCCCATCTTTACAAAAAATTAAAAAATTAGCCAGGCAGGGCTGGGCGCAGTGGCTCACACCTGTAATCCCAGCACTCTGGTAGGCCAAGGCGGGCAGATCACATGAAGTTGGCAGTTCGGGACCAGTCTGACAAACATGGAGAAACCCTATCTCTACTAAAAATACAAACAATTAGCTGGGCATGGTGACGTGTGCCTGTAATCCCAGCTACTTGGGAGGCTGAGGCAGGAGAATCGCTTGAAGCCAGAAGGTGGAGGTTGCAGTGAGCTGAGATCACGCCACTGCACTCCAGCCTGGGCAACAAGAACGAAACTCCATCTCAAAAAAAAAAAAAAAAAAATTAAGCCAGGCCTGCCAGGCACACAGCAGCTCCACCTGTAATCCCAGCACTTTGGGAGGCCAAGGTGTGCAGATCAGGTCAGGAGATGGAGACCATCTGGCCCAACACAGTGAAACCCCGTCTCCATAAAAAAAAAAAAAAAAAAAAAATATATATATATATATATATATATACACACACACACAAAAAAAAATCTGCCATGCATGGTGGCATGCATTTTGTAGTCCCAGCTACTCGGGAGGCTGAGGCAGGAGAATCGCTTAAACCCTGGAGGCAGAGCTTGCAGTGAGCCGAGATTGTGCCACTGCACTCCAGCCTGGGCAACAGAGCAAGACTCCATCTCAAAAAAAAAAAAAAAAAAGAAAGAAAAATTAGCCAGGCATGGTGGCATGCATTTGTAGTCCCAGCTGTACTCCAGAGGCTGAAGCAGGAGAATCGCTTAAACCCTGGAGGCAGAGCTTGCAGTGAGCCGAGATCGTGCCACTGCACTCCAGCCTGGGCAACACAGCAAGACTCCATCTCAAAAAAAAAAAAAAGAAAGAAAAAAATTAGCCAGGCATGGTGGCATGCATCTGCAGTCTCAGCTACATGAGAGGTTGAGGCAAAAGGATCACTTGAGCCCAGGAGGTGGATGCTGCAGTGAGCTATGACTGCACCACTGGACTCCAGCCTGGGTGACACAGAAAGGCTCTGTCTCTATTGAAAAAAAAAAAAAAAAAAAGTCAACTGACCATTTTATGTGTGGCTCTATTTCTGGACTTCTACTGGACTTCTAACTCTGTTTCCTTGGTCTATGTG